TCGGGTCGGGTCGGGTCGTGGTCGTGGTAAGATACTATTTTTTAGAGAAAATTCTTAAGAAACAAAATCTTTTTTTTTAACTATCACAACGAATTTTCGTAACGAATTTGGAAAATCGCAACGACAACTGTAGACTATCGCAACGACAACTGTAGACTATCGCAACGAATTTGGAAAATCGCAACGAATTTGGAAAATCGCAACGACAACTGTAGACTATCACAACGCGAAATGAAAAATCGCAACGCGATTTTCAACTATCACAACGCGAAATGCAACGCGAATTTGCGATAGTGGAGATCGCAATGCGAATTAGAGATCGCATTGCGATTTTGTTAGACATTTTCGCAAATCCAAAAAAAGTTGGTCAAAATCGTATATTATCTGGGATTTTTGGTCACTGAGGTTATTTTCTCTTTTAAAAATTAGTCTCCAAACATAAAATATTATGTTTGTACCTATTAAAGACATAGTCACCCATTTGTTATTTTCTTTCTTCTATGAATTTTAACTATAATCGAAATTACAACCTATTAGAATCTTTAAATAAATATTAATATCCATGTAATTTAAAGGTGATTTTCCCGATATATCACCGTTGAACAATATATTTCCCGATCAGGCACCGTTCAGACTATATTTTCTGATCTAACACCCTTTGCAGAAAGGTGCGGCCCCTGCAACACGCTTTACGCTGATTTGCCACCACTTGGGGTAAGGCGTGCCTCTGCAGCGCGCCATATGCTGACATGATATACACGTGTGTACAGGAGTATAGCGCGATACAGGGGCCGCGCCTTACCCCAGAATCTGTCACGCGTCAATAAGGCACGCCGCAGGGTATAATTACCCACCTACCCCGACGTTTCACACTCCAATCCCTCTCTATAAATACCCTCATCCTCAATCATTTTCATCACACCAAATTCTCTCAATTTCTCTCAAATACTCTTATAATCTCTGTCTAAGGTATATTTAATTATATTTTTAATATTTTGTATTTAGTTTATTTAAGTATTTAATTTATTTAATATTTTATTTAATTAATTTTTTTGCAGATATAAAATGGAAGGTGGTCTACTTCACTTGGATGGAAATCATATATCTCGACACTTTGCTGATACGGTAACATTTTAACATTTTAATTTAATTTAAATTATTAGTAATTATTTGTTGATTTATTTAATGCATGATTATTAGATTAAGAATTAATTTTTTTAATTATTTAATTTTATGAGAAGGATCGTGTATTAGATCCATTTATTAGGAATCTTAAGTTAGTGATACATAGCCGTGTCTTGCCGTATTTAGTAGAGGCTGGATTCGGTTACATAGGTAGATATCAGAGTCACTATAAGATAGAACCAGACCTTATTTCTGCCTTAGTAGAGCGGTGAAGGCCGGAGACCCACACATTCTATCTTCCGTGCGGAGAGTGCACGATTACACTTGAGGATATTGTTATGCACCTGGGGCTTCCGGTGGATGGAGATGTGATATCGGGGATCGTGCAGGGTTCCTGGACTACTTTGTGTCGGGATAATCTAAGACGTGTCCCAGAAAGTTTTAATGGTGGTCGGATACCGTTAAATTGGTTAGATGTCAATTTTCGGGAGTTGAGCGAGGACGCGTCAGATGATGAAGTTAAAATGTATGCACGGGCATGCATACTGCAGCTAATAGGAGGGTTATTGATGCCGGACAAATCGCGCAACCAAGTTCACTGTATGTGGTTGCGACATCTTGTCGACTTTTGTCTGGTCGGATCACTCAGTTGGGGCTCGGCAGTTTTGGCTTTATTGTACAGGGAGATGTGTCGAGCCACTGACTACAGGAGAAATGCTATTGGCGGATGTCTCCTCCGGCTGCAGTCTTGGGCATGGTATCGATTACCCTTTTTTATGTCCCGTTGTGAAGAACTTATTCGTATTTCCGCTACTCTTGAGGTAATTATAAAACTGATTTCATATATTAATCATCTTATATAGCGTATAATAATTTTTTTCTTGAATAGGTGGTCTACTGATAGGAAAAATCATCAGGAGCTACCTGATGATTTAGAAAAAATTAGGGTGCTCATCGATCAGAAGGTTGGCACACAGGTATAAATTTATATGTTTAAAAATCGATTTTAGATTATAGTTATATAATTAGATTATTATTTTGATAAAAATTATATATATTTGTTTTAGTTTGAATGGGTGCCATATTCTAATGATAATGTGAGGACGGTGATCCCACCTGTGTTGAGGGGCCCATCAGATGTTTGGATGGTGATGGTCCTTTTGATATGTTATGCGACAGTCGAGTGGCACTCCACTGATCGCGTGCTCCAGCAATTTGGTTGTTTTCAACCAATTCCGGAAGCACCTTGTAATATGAACGACTTGCATGCCATAGAGAGACGCGGCAAGACCGATACGGATTGGCTGGTGAGGCATCATGAGTGGGACGTGTTGTGGGAGGATCGATATCAGCGTCTTCCCCGTAGAGAGCCCATTTATGTTGATGACTTGACGGTTGGTATGATTATTATGAGTGGTTCAACAGAAACGAGAAACTGTTTCTGCTTCCCGAGGATGCACTAGGGTGGATCTTTCCACGACGTCGATGGAGACGTTCACCGACACAGCACCATCGTCCCCCGACTCGTGGACGGAGAGCAGGTGCTTCCGGTTCATCATCAGCTGCACCAGCAAGACCTTCACAGCAGCACCAGCAAGACCTTCACAGCAGCCACCATCTGCAGCGACTTACATACCGCAACCATATGTGTTGTCGTCACCGCCTTTCCATTACCAGATGCCGCCGCCTTCACCTGGTTTTATGACCCCGCCACCGCCACTTTCACAAAGTTTTATGACCCCTCCTGAAGGCTATTATGGGTCTATGTTTTCAGATCCAACTTGGGGTTTATATGCTAGATATTTGGCGGGTTCAGCCTCATCACCCATGGTCGCAGCACAGACATCTCCTGTACAGTTTTCACACTCAGCGATGTCTGGGTTTTATGAGTTTTCCTAGTTTTCGCAGGCCGGTGGGATAGTCAGTCATACACCTCAAGGGTCCTTATTCTATGTAGGTGCTTCATCGTCATCAACTCCTCATCAACAAAATTTAGCTGCTCAGGACAACGACGATGAGGACGACGACGATGATGATGATGACAAGGAGGAGTCACAACCAGTGATACGAAAAAATCCTCCTCGAGACTGATAGCCACCGCCCTGCATAACACATTCGCGTCGCAGACATCGATAGATTTTATTTTTTTTATTATATTTGTATTTAGTACTTTTTATTGTAGTTGTTTATTGGACTTTTTTATTGTAATTTTTTTATTTATCATTTAATACTTACTTTAATTCGTTAATATGGTTGGAAATCTGTACTGCAATGACGATATTCTTCTACTACTTCCAACATGAATCTTCATCGAAATCTTCGTTATCAGCTCCTCAAGAGTTATGTTTCTCTTCAATGATATTTTAACACGCTCAATTGATACCAAAACAACGCCGGCTTCATCTTCTCGAATTTCTCCATCATAATAAACAATAGCTGAAAGTAGCGTCATTCTTTGAGTTTAAAAGTACGACAATATTATATCTACAAAAAAAATAACTGAAACAATGTTGATTAAATAAATAATATATGAACAAAAATATAACACAATAAAATTTTTACACATAAACGTAAATAATTTAAATAATATAATTTTATATTATCACCTGTACCGCAAAACTATTTCGACGTATATTCTCACTTTTTAATTTTACAAACACATAAATTAATTGACAACAATTAGTATAATATTTTTTCAAATAATCATAATAAACAATAAGTATAATAAAAAAAGTTATCACAAAATTACATTATAACGAAAACTCGCACGAACTTCTGAATTAAATATGAGAAGATTGTTGGATTGTTGTATTAATTTTTTTCTAATCGAGAAGAGATGTGAGGAGTTACCCCAGAGAAAGGGTATTTATAGCCGAGAAAAGCTACAAGACGTAGTACATGTACCGCACCTTACATAATTATATCAGATAAAGCTAAGGTGCGGGCCCTGTTCCGCTCCTAATAATTGTGTTAAATGTAAGGCGTGGCCCCTGCCCTGCGTTATATTCCTAGGTGGCCTAAGGCATGCCCCCGGGGGCCGTGCTTTACACATGTGTATACCATGTCAGCATAAGGTGCGCTGCAGGGGGCACGCCTTACCCCACATGACGTCAAATCAACGTAAAACGCGTTGCAGGGGCCGCACCTTTCTGCAAAAGGTGTTAAATCAGAAAATATAATCTAAACGATGCCTGATCAAGAAATATGTTGTTCAACGATGATATATCGAGAAAATCGCCTGATTTAAATCTTAAATTTTATTTAAAAAACTCCAAACACATTAACAACCAGCTTTAATCTTAAGTGGCAGTTGCTTGCAATTGCATGCAGATTTTTTAATTAATTAGGGTAATCCAAATTTTTTTGTTAATATAAAAATAAGTATTTAAATCACACTTAAAATTAATTTTTTATGTCTAAAGAATTTTTCGTTAAAAATAGGTGATTAAAATTTTCTCTGTTACACTTTTAGTGTCTACCGTTTAAAAAATCGTTAAGTGACATGTGTCACGTTCAGATTTAAAAAAATATTTTTAAATAATATTTTATTTAAAAAAAATATAGACGTGATATGTCAGTTAACGAGACTTTTTAACGGTAGACACCTAAAAATATAATAAAAAAAATTTTAAACACATATATTTAACGAAAAAATTCTTTAAATATTAAAATATTTTTTAAAATTTTTTTTAAACACTTATTTTTATATTAAAGTTGTTTTTAGTAAGAGGTAAAATAATAGTACTAGAGTTTATTTGAATATAATAATAAAAAGGTTCTCTGGAATTCTGTATAAAAGAGTCAACGTGTATGTCAGGCTTTTCACCAAATGTTGCCTGATGATTATTGTACTTTCTTTTGAACTGTTTCTCTCTCTCTCTCTCTCTGCATTAATTCGTTTTTTTTCTCTGATCCTTTTTGCACTGCCAATTTGCTGCGATCATTATTTACTAATGGGTGTGCCTGAAGGGTAGTTGTGAGTTTTAAGCTTACTGTTGGCCTTCTTTTTATGTCACACAGCTGAATCTTGTCCTTCATTACAATAAAACAAATGCAGATTTAGAACATACTTTAGTTTTCAGAGAATAAGCACTTCAATGTCAAACAGGGTTATCTGTTTTTAGCGATATATCCGCATAGAGAAGTGGGTCGGATATACAAAATAAAATGAGGTGTTAACCGACGCTGAAGAACAAGTGGGGTTTGAAGTGAAGGGAATTAAAAAAATAATGAAAAGGAATGCATCAGAATGACGTTTACGTGACATTATAGTTGAAGGAATCATTAACTATGCGAAAAGCAACAAATGCTATACAAACATTCAACCACTTAGACGAGAAAGAGAGATCCGTACATTACGAATTTTAAAGTGGCCGATGAGAATCAAGGGGCAGATGGGTTTAAAGTTTAAACCACAGCTCCATCATCAAAGATTTGCTTCTAACATGTTTGATTTCAACCAGTCGTTTTCTTCATTTCAATGTTGAATAGAAAACGTAAGGACAAGTGTTCCTATTTTTGTATGAATCAGCATCCATCCCCTCCTCCACTCTCGCTTAAATATGCCAATTATTTCATCATGCCCTCACCTACAATTAGATTTTATGCGAGGCGCTGTGACTTGTTTATTATAAATTACAATCTTTTTGTTTATATATTTTACAACTCTAATCCTTGGAAAGTTTGCATTCACTTCGGACGTGTTTGGCCACGTCCCATTCATTTTATTTTCTTTTCTTGAATTCCGTTGAGGTCCTCTGATTAAGATTTAGTTATAGTTAGATTTATTAACATAAACTTATTATACATATACCCCTCCAATAAAACTTTGCCATGTGGCATAATTAATAATAAAAAAGGACAGCCTTCTTATTTCTCTATTCTTTTTCTTTCTTTTGACTAAATATCTCTTTCGATCCATTATTACTGAAACTTTCTCTCTTTAAGTTTTTTTAAAAACGAGAAATTAAACAGAAGGTCACAGACGACCGTTTGTTTTATTATTAAATATAAAACATTAGCGGCGCTTTTCTGTCACAAACGTCGCAAAAGGTCAGTCCTATAGCGACGTTTTAATATAAACGACGCAAAAAGTGAGGCTGTATAACGGCGTTATTTTATGAACGCCGCAACGGGGTTCTATAGCGGTGTTTTTGTGCAGCAACAGGCAGGTTCTATAGCGACATTTATAATACAAACGCCGCTAATTTTTGACTCCGTTAGTAACACGTTTCATTCTAAAATGCCGCTAATCTAAGGTTAGTTGATTTTAAAATTATTTTTGGCTATGTTCTACTCATCATGTACCATTATCCAATCAAAACAAACTTCAAATTTAATTACGACACTAATTAAGTTGAAATAATTAACAATAAAAATATTAAAAAATTATCCAATAACAATAAACATACCAAAAAGCAATATATTAAAAGTATGTACAACCTTGTTTTTCAAGTATGATGGATATCATTGTATGTACAACGTTTTGCATTTTAGATTTCTTCTTTCCTTTTTCGCTCTTCAACAAAAACGAAATCGTGCATTTGCAAAGCAGACAGAGCGCTTTCATCTTGAGCCATTGATCTATACAGCTTTCATGACATGAGATGAAGGGAGCTCCTTCAGCACATGATTGTTGTCATAATTCGTCAAACAAATGCAATAAACCTGCATATTGACGATATAGATTTAGCTGACCGACAGTTTCCGGTTGATAACAAAACAATGTTAAGTATGTAATCATAATGCTTCCTCGAGCATTAAGCAGAAGTAATCAATCTTATGAGCAAGGCATTCCGGAACTTACAGCATCATCCTTTGGAATAGCACAATCCTTCTCGACTCCTCTGCAAATTTGAAGTCTGCAAATTTGAAGCCCCTGAAGAAGAGTAACCTCCAAATAGCCAAACATTTCCAATAACAAACCACACAAAAAAGTATGCTTTTACCACCCATTTGAAGTGCTCCAATAATCTGTAAGCCTGCCAAGTTACCGTGCAAAAAATGCATCAGCAATTGCATATAACTTATTTAAGTTATGCATAAAAGACTCAGAAACGCAACTGTTACGACCAAACCAGAAGGTGCTCATAAAAAACCAAATATAGTACAAACTGTCTGAGGCTTCAATTTACACCAGAATATAATATGTTTAGCTCTTCCTTAAACATGAGCATAGAAAAAAGTGGGTTTTCTTTTATGTCTATCCTATTTTCAGTAACATCAGCAGTAACTGTGAAAATCATCCGAAGAAAATACAACATTGCACAGAAAAGAGAACCACTCTCATTGAAAATACACAATGTAAAACATAAAACATGTTCATACGGTTCAAAAGCAAATTTTCTTCTGATATTAGACATTCCAACACACAATATACTCAGAAATTTTGAGCCAATTCTATAGAATCAGCGGTTTTTACTTCCAGATTTCAGAAGAGTGGACAAATCTGAGCCAAAAAGCAAATATACCAAATGAAATTATCTAAAACGGTTTGATAGGAACCAGCAATTATTTGCTTGAATTGTCAGAAACTGCATCTACTTTTGCTGTAACTAGGATTTTTTCTGTCATAAGTTTGATTTGCCTTGTCAAATAAACTTGAAGGATCATATGGATTTTTTTTTCATAATTGATCTTAAGTCCAGGAAAGCCAGAATAAATTATTCTTACTGCATTCTGTACATCTGTATCTCACATCTATACTGGAAACCAATGCATCCATTATGCTAAACATTTGCAAACTTATCTTAAAAGGAAAATAATAATCAATCAATGGTTGATGCCATATGTTCCACTATCAGCATTGTTATTCTCATTAGAATGAATTGCTTCTTCTTTAATCCTTGCAAGTTCTGACTAGATTGATATTAAGATTAGTTCAATGAACTTATAAAATACTACCCAAAGCCTAAAGTGCACTTCCATTCAACATGTATGTTATTCTCTGGTAAACTATATTAAAAAGAACCTCTTCAGTAAGCAAATGCTGCATTATAATCAGTATCTTACAGGTGTAGAAGCTCTTCTTTAAGCTTTAGCATATTTTTGTCCGTTCTCAATGAGCTCCTTTTCCCATAAGTCCCGATATGGAGGCGAGTAACCCAGGAGAAGCTGCAAAATTTAACATTCAAAGACAATAAATACTTGTTTTGAATATTTTAATAGTAGATGTGAACTTATCAAGTTCTTTCCTTTTCCTGTAAAATGTACAAATCCCAGTGAATGGGTAAAAGGAACCTTCAAAATAATAATTTAATCGTAATATTTATCGATTGATTTTAGATAATGTTATGGTGAGAAATATTTTGATTATCTGCACCCACTTGACAACTAAGTTTTCCACCATTTTCTCAGAAGCCAGACAGATCCAAAAGAAATCGAAAATCAATACTCACACACCAGGTAAATCTTGCTGCCTTCACTGCCGAATCTAAGCAACTCCTTCGCCGAAATCAAAGCTTCTTTCAGCGAGACCAAAGCTTTAACAGTTTCTTCAGAGATTTGCTCCTTGCTCTCTCTAATCTCCTCGAACATTGGCGTCAATAGCTTCAGTCTCCTAGCGAGATCGCAAAACTCCTTAACGGCACATCTGTAATCGCGATGGGACCTATTTGATTCACCGCATCGAACAAGCTCTGCCCAAGCTCTCCTTTCTCTTCTTCCTTTTAAGTTTGGTTTCTGAAGAGATTTGCTTGAAATTAGGGATACAATGCTAATGTCTTGGGAGTTTGTAGGCACAAACGCTCCTATTTGTTATTTCATAGCAGAGTTTTTTAAAAAAGCCACTAAGGTACGAGTGTTGGATAAAGCCATTATATATATGAATATTATTGCGACATTTATGTTAGAAACGCCACAAAATATTAATCTGTAGCGGCATTTTTAAGATAAACAAAGCTAAAGTTACTATTTTGTTGATTTTTATATGTAAACGTCGTTATATGTTTAAAATTAGTGACGTTACTTTTAAAACACCGCTAAAAACACCCCTACAAATTTGTTTTGTTGTAGTGTTCGTTTCTCAATAAACTTGTTTACCGTCTTCTCGCATGCAATGTTTTTTTCACATTACCGAGGAGAAAAAATAATTTTCCTCCATTGTAGACACCCGTTTTTGTCCGGGTCTTTTCTATTTTAATTTATTACTATTATTGTCATTTTATATTATTATTATTATTATTATTTAATATGTATTTACATTTTGTAGGCCAATCCCGAGGCCCATTCTCGAAGCCCACCAAGAACCCAATAAGCTTACCCATCAGCCAAACCCTGAACCTAATTCACCATAAGGCTATCATCTAACAACCAACCGCCACAGCCGTTTGGCCTTCCATCTCCCAGCCGTGCTTGAGGCGTCGATGGTGAATCCCGAGCCGGTCGTCATCAGCAATCTGGTCACACAGTGAAGCAAATGTCATCAACAGTGTATCAAACTTACCCCAAATCTAAAAACCCATTAAAATAACACCCAAAAATCCCGAAAAATCTGGACTTTATTCACCCAAATCAGAGAAATCAAATCCTATCAATAGACCTCATCATCTCACCTAAAAAGAAGGATTTAAAAATCAACATGCAACAAAGAGAGAGCATTCGGGTTTTCAGAGAGAAACAGAAAGAGAGAAAACTAGAGAGAAATCATTCGGAAAATAAAAAAAAACTAGCTAAATAACCAGGAACAAGCCAAAGAAACCGAAAAAAAAAAGAAAAGAAAGGAAGGTTCATACCCTTTAGAAGTTGAGAATCCATCTCATCGGAAACGAAAATCTTTTTCCTTGAAGGTACATCCTTCCACCATAGATCTGAGTTTTTTTAAAGCTGTGAGGGTTGCGAAAAGGATGATTTTCTTTAAAAATAAAATGGGTTTGTGAGTGAGGAGTTAACTTTTAGGTTTCTAGTGAGCTAGTGAGGTTAACATAGTGTGGTCTTACTATTTCCCGGCCACCAAACCACGGTGACCGGAGCTGATTGACGGGTGGTCTGGGCGTAAGGGAATATGAGAGTTTGAGAGGACCTTTGGGTTTCCCTGTTTGGAGAAGAAAAAGGAACGGGTGAGTGAATGAGAATGTTAATTTGTTATTTGGTTTTGGGGTTAAATGCTGAACACAAAACAATGTCGTGAGAAAGGGGGGCATTTCCATGTTTTGTGTGTGGGTAACCTATGTAATGGGGCCTGGAGTTTTTGTAACTTTGTGTTATGATCATGTGATATATTTTAATTGTTTTATATTTCATGTCTCACATTTGTAAGTTTTATATTTTGGTCACTTGGCAATTATTATTGATATTTTGTACATTTAAACATTGTACTCTGTGTTTATAAAATTTACATTGTGGTCATTGTCCTTGTATTATGGGTTAAATACCGAGACCTGGTTATATGTTTTACTTTCCTTATATTTTAGTCCTTTATTTTTTGTATGGAAATAGAAATTTACGTATCTAGTTCATGAGATCTTCCTGATGTATGTTTTAGTCACTGTTTAGTTTTATTCTGGGTTATTTGCTTGTTTGTTCCTTTATGTTTCTGGTTTATCTTATTTTAATCCCTAATATTATTTTTAGATTATTTTCATTTTAGTACCCATTTTATTTGTTGTATTTGATTAGGGATATGATTTATTTGTATTTGTGGTTAAGCCCCTAAAGTTTATGTTAGTACATTTTAGTCCCCTGTTGTTATGTTATTTTATCTTTGGAAGTTTTTTAGTATCATGATATTTTAATTTCTTATATTTCAGTCCTTAATTGAAACTTTGGTTTTTTACTTCAAACTTTAAATTTCATCCTTTTTTATATTTTAGTCATTTTTACACTATTAATTGTTTTTGGTTAATTGGTTAATTTCACTTATTAAGTTGTGATGTGATTATTTATTTTTTTAAAAATTTTCATATTTGGGTCTGCCATGCTTACATGTTTTCATTTTAATCTAGGTTATAATATGCATGTACATATTATGTTTCACATGTCTGTGTGCATGTACTAATTTATTTATTTTTATTTTATTTCTTTACATACACGTGTTGTATGATATATGCCTATATACATAAATTATAAATTTATTTTTACCTTTGCATATTCATATATATATATATATTACCAATGTTTGTTCCATGCTATTTAATTTGATTTATGTTAATTTGTTAAATCTAATTGTCAACATTTTATGTTATTTATTCGGATATCTTCGAGAAATTATATTTGTAGAATGGGGTGGAAAGCACCACTTGATCGAAGTGATGCAATCCTATACGACGTTCAAACAGAATATGATAAATATATAAAAAAAATGCAAATTCTTCCTTTTACGAGCTTATAGAAATTATTTTTATTGTTATTCTATTTTTTGTTATTTTATTTGATGTTCATATTGTTTAATATTTAAATTTTAATCTTTATTATTATTTCTTCATTGAATCTTAATATGAGTGATGTATGTTTTGGAAAATTAAAATATGATGCATTTTATGTCAATTTTCGATATTATTTTTTAATTTAAAGAGAAAATATTCTTTACAAGTAAGAAATAGACGAGGTAGCTTTCCCGACGAGGATTGCAAATCTCGGGATTTCTTGTCGAGAAAAGGGTTTTTTTTTTATTTTAACTAATATTCAATAAATAATCATAATTGATTTTCATTCTATTTATAATTTTTATTGTATTAATGATCTATGTTAATATTAACAATACATGTTTAGATAAATTAAGTATGATTATTTTATACTCTGGTCGATATAATTTGGTGTTAATTCAAAGATAGAATACTTTATAGATGAAAAATAGACGAGATAGCTTTCCCGATGGAGGATTGCAAATCGGGATTTCTCACCAAGTGAAGTATTTCTATTATTTTAACAAATATTCAATAAATAGATATATTTTTACTTCTGAGTCAAACTTTAAGTTCTACCATTAATGACGATATGTAAGCGACACAGTACCAATTTTGGGCGTTGTAGGGGTGTTTACCCTTCCCCACACGTAACCGACTCCCGAACTGTTTTAAATGAATCTTTGGCAACGTAGACCAAATTTGTCTTATAAAATATTTTTCTTAAAATTGTTTTAAAAGACGTTTTTAGGTATTTGACCTACCTAACCCAAAGGTCGATGGCGACTCATTTTCAATTTAATTTTAATTAATCCATAATCACCAATTTTTTTAAATTAAAGTCATAATCGTTTTTTTTAAATAATAAAAAAAAAGTTTTATAAAAAATGGTTATGACAGCTTGGCGACTCTGCTGGGGGAACTAGAGAGTCAGGCTGTCGGTCGCTTATATATGGTCGTTATGGTGGAAATTATAAGTTCGAATCTTTAGTAAAACTATGATCTATGTATTGAATTTTATTTATTATTTTATCTCTTTATTTTTATATACTAACATTTTAATTGTTTTCATTTTTTTTTCAGATATTTCTTAGTTCCCGTTGAGTTTATTTTCCCTATTTTTGAGTCAAAGGTTTGTTTGTTTCTCCTCACACACATCATTTTCATTAGCATAACATGAGCTCTAGACATGAGCTTCGATCCAAATTAGTTAGGGTGATTGCTTTACTCTCGTAAGAATTTATTCTTCGTATGAGTTTTAGCAAATAACCCATGGGATACATACCTTATACCTTCGTAGGAATTTATTCCTCGTATGGGTATAAGGCAGTGAATCCCCTCGAATTGAACTCGGTCCGTTTGAAACCTGTAATGGGTGAGGATTGAGGGTTTGGTAGCCCAAGGGGGCACCGACATCAAGGACAATTCGAGCTCCTTTTTTCCTGTTAGAGCTGAAACCATGCATATAGTGAACCATAGAACGGTCACACTAGGTAGAGTCATACTGAACCTCTGTCCGTCAATAGGTACCCAAAATAGGCGTACACAATGGAGAAACCCTCTAACCTTTTTTATTTTATTTATTTATTTTTGAGTGTAGAATAGATTTATTCTGTTAAAGCATGTGAAATAGAATTTAGGTGCAGTTAGAATTTAATTAATTTAGGAGGGTAGAGAGCATGTTTGGGTAGGACCCTTTTTGAGGAATATTATTGGGTAGATAATACATAAATAGAATAGATTATTTTCCGTTTTACTTATCTTTTTATGTTAAATTTATGCAATTGTTTTGACTAACTGTTTTGTTTGTTTTGTTTATTTTTTTCATACTGCATAGACATATCATTAGAAAAGGCGATTGATCTGTGAGTATCGATAAAGTGGAAAGACTTTCACGATGGAAAGGAGTTTCCTAAACAAAGAAGTGAATCCAGCAGATGTAAGGAACTGGTCCGAAGCCAAGCAGAAAGAGCAGGGAGATAGTCTATCAGGGAACTACGTGTCGGATCTGTCTGATTATACACCAGCTTCTTTAAAACAGAATGAGCTTCAGGGATTGAAAACCATTTGGGAAAGTTGGAATCTTATTGAGAGGCAAGCTTTTCAGCAGACTTATGGGGATATATTTCATCTGATATACGTGAAGGTAGACCGGTTCTCATACGAAGCATAATACAGTTTTGGAATCCGGCCTATAGTTGTTTCACATTCAACCGAGA